AAGATTCGATAAATAGAATAATCCGAGAAATTCTATAAATTGAACGGGGCGTTACAGTTCGGTTCACCTAGGTAGAAAGGATCTACTCACTAGGTAATTGCCCTTATTCGGGCGAAATCTTACATACATACCTCAACCATGGTATTGCGATTATAGAACATGTAATACCCAGTACAGGGTCCCCACCTAATATGCTGAAATGCAGGTGCTGAATGGTTTGCAACTGTCAGAGCCTCGACTCTCCACAAGCTACAAAATATATAAGCACAAAATATATTTTAAGTACTTATCTTAAACTGAAAACTCGAATTATATTATCTGAGTTGTCTAGGTTCGCTCACTCGACTTTAAAATCATTTTAGGGATTTACGAGCTGATTTTGAAAATTTATTGTCTTTGAGGCATTCTAGAATTCTCTGAAATTTTTCTAAGTCTGGAACTATAATCTTAATTAATCTAATCTGACTAAAATCTAAAATATATCTGGATCTTTAATCTATCTGGAATCTTGACTTTATCTGGAATCTTAACTATATCTGAAATCTTAAATATATCTGAAATCTTAATCTGACTGAATCTAAAATTTATCTGAAATTCTATCTGAAATATATCTCGAACCGTCTGGACTGACCGGACCGGTTCAACTGAACTGGACCGACAGCTTACTCGAAACTGGTCGGTCATTCGCTTGACTATGTGCAGCTCGGTTTGACCGTGGTCCGAGCTCGACGTGGCAACTCGGGCCGGCACGAACTCGACTGACACGGCTTAGCTGATGCACGAGTTTGAAACGGTGCCACGGTCACTGACGCAGGGGCGTGCTTGGACCACGGCTAACAGAACAACGCGTAGACGGTAGGTCGTATGGACTCGGTGCACGGGCACGCACTTAGGGGTTTCAAAAGTTTCATATGCGATGAATATGTGACAGTTTTCGCATAATCTTCGCACTTTTTGGGGTGAAAAACTTAGCTTTTTATTGGGCGGTGTGAAAAACTTAATTTGTTTTTGTTATGGGGTGAAAATGATTCTTTCCTATTTTCCATTATTCTACTCAAATATACACATGCTTACTTAAGCATCGGAGGCTCTTCACCAGAGAACCCCCTGGTGTGAGAGTTGTTTGTAGGTTACCGGCGTTCCACCGGTGAAGACGAGAGGCGATCTATTTCAAACCGGCTAAGATGCTCACACTTGCATTAATTGGTGTTTTTGAACTGATTTCAGAGGAGTATATTGCCTCTGTATTTCTAAGAGAAGTATCACACCCTTTCTTTCTTCGCTTGAATGGTTAAAACTTGATTTGATTGAAAATTACTTCTTGACGGACTTCCTCTTCGATCTTCCTAAGGAAATATTTTAACTTGAATAACATTGCTCGAGGGTTTAATAGTATTTTTTGAATCAAATGCTATGATAGTTGAATCTCTCGACGAAATGCTGCTTTAGTGTTGCTCGAATATCATTGGTCTTTTTGAATTGATTCCGGAGGAGAGGGTGTTGCGTCTTTATCTTGTGGAGATGAATCACCACCTTTTTTTTTCTTCCCTTGACCTTCTTCTCCATTTAATGAAGTTTGAAAGCTGGAGCACGGGCACGCACTCGGCGGTTCGGCTCCAACGGTCAGACGAGAGGCGATCACGGGCACGAGACGACGATACGCTTTCTGAATTACGATACGACGGCTAATAATTATCCAGACGGTACTAGGGTTCAGTCATTTAAAATCGGATCCAGAAATATACCCAGTTATCAAAACCGGATAAAACTAGGGTTCAATTCTCGAAGATCTTAACTCATTTAAGGTCGATAATTAATATATATATTTTATGCGATTTATATTGATTTTAAAAAAAATCAACAACTACAGCTAAAATCATATCCAACTAATTTTATAAAATATCGCAAAATGAGGCTAACGTCTTGATTTTTAATTTATATCAAATGGTGTCTGAACATTACGAAATTCTAAACACACCATTATCAACACCTACGTGGTCCATGGTCAAAATATCGGGTCAAAATTCAACTCCTAACCCATTCAACTCACAATCGCTTCAACCGGTCAAATACTTTAATAATCGCGTTCGTCTATCTAACGAACTCTAAATATTCTCAACTTTGCACCTAAGCCTCAAGACATCGAAACGAATTTCATAAAATTTATTTCATCGTTATATCGCATTTTTATAAAAAGCTCGAA